TCCAAATTGAAACTAAATTCTCAACATCGGTCAATTGAAGAAAGTAAGAAATAACTGAAGATGTATAACGGAGACGAAGAAGTAGCCACTGAAGTTATGAAAGAAGAATGCAAAAATAAACTAATGTTTCATATAAAGCAACCACATACTAACCTTACAAACAAAAGAAAATCTCCATGTTTCACTGATTTGAAATTTAGGTTTATAGATGAATAGGTATTTAACTGTAGAAATTCGCTCATACGTCAAACAACTTGGTCGCATTGAAGTTCTTCGCTACTGCATAACTATCTTTGTTCCAAATGATAATTTAGTGATCCCAATGATGCAAGAGTGTGCAATCCTATGGAAAAAAAACATCCACAGAGGCATTAAACAAATAATCACATACATATAATAAATACACCAAAGGATATGCAGAGAATTAAAAAATCATATGTATAACTCAACTGGTAGTAAGTTGTCATCTGCTCGTGCAGAGAGAACCTCTTTTTTATCAACTTGCATCATTACTATATAATTCGTATCGCCTAGCCTTTTCGTCGGGATGTACTTTTTCGAAGTTTTGATCATTTTTCAGATTTCTATTCTACATTTCATCAATGATTTTTCATTCCCGAACATGAAATTTTGATTACAGGTTTAACAGTATTGAGTATATGTTTAATACTGATTAATGTGCATACATGTCAACTATTTGTATATTCACTAATATGCAGAAATATATCATAAAATTAAAGAACCCAGGTAAAAATACAACATACATAAACAATCAATAATAGAAAGTATTAAGGAGATTAAGGAGTAGAAGAGCATTACTTACCAAACGATGAAATGCTTCACTGACGCACGGATGCACAATTATCACAATGGAACATAGAAACTGCAGCAATGATAAAAATAAAACAATAAAGTATTAGACAACTCCAACCAAAAGATAAAAAAAATTAAACCAATTTAAGCGATATTGGCAGCCATGCACACAACGACTAAATAACTGCTAGCTTGGTCACGGTTATCGCTACCACGCTGGAAAAGGTCTCGTTTCTATTTCTTTAGCATTTTGAGGACAAAATCGTTCTCTTTTTTTTTTTTAAAGAAAAATCAAATCGTCATCAAGAAGCCTAAAGCAAATGAAATTACTAATATGATATTCTTCTTTACAGTTAGTTATTTGAATAACACTCTCCAATTTAGAGCACAATAACAATAAAATCGTGAAATCAGAAGTATTGAAATAAAAACAGAAAGAAAGCTAGCAGAATTAGAAAGTATAAAAGAACCACAAAAATTTTCTTCAGCTTAATTAGGATTAACACCTAGATCAATATCGTTATCAAGTTGAGATCGAGAAGCATTTAGCCTTCACAGAAGAGAATCAAGAATGAATTTTTTTTTTTTGCGTGTGGCTGAAGCTTATGGGAAAAGGGGAAATTGGAAAGCTAGAGATACATAAAAAACAGGAATTTGAGGGTGACGATGAAGGATATCTACATACGTTAAATAGCAAAACTAAGAAGGATGGAGAGAACTCAAAAGAAGTGTTAGCCAATCTGTATTGCTGTAATAAACAATAAAACAGTAAACTTTCTGGAAAAACAGAAACAAAAAGTTAATAGAACCAGAACGACAAAATAAATTCTAAAAAATAATATAGGAATAAATCGAGTCCACTAAATACACAGTGTGTCCTTATGAAAATTATTCCCCTCAAGTACGCGAGGTGCTGGAATATATCCTTCCAGGATAGAACGATTTAACTCACCGGAGTGTTGGTACCAAAAATGCCGATATACAACGAACCACTCGAAGACTGTAAAACACACTAGAATTTTTATGTGCAGAAGAAGAAGAAGAAGATCAGAAAATTTCGTAAGTAAAGATTCTGGGATTCAAGGAATATTTATAGATCATTTGGCACTGTTTCTGAAAAGGTTTGCAACCTTTCAGAAACAGCCATAGCTGTTGGAACAGGTGTGAAACAGAAATATTTCGGGAAATAACAAACGGATTTAAAATAATCCGGGAAAGAAAATGGACCGGACTGGACCGGTTTGTGGGTCATGGGTTATTCCGGATTGAATTTTTATTAATTAATTAAATAATTGAAAGAAATTTTGTCCAAAAAGATTAATCAATCAATCGATCTTTGACCAAATCCAAATCCGACGAATCCGAATCTGAAGCCGAGCCGAGCGAGCGACGACGACGCGAGGCTTGCCTTCTTCTTAACTATTTAAGAGCTAGAAGAAGAGCAATTGCATATATACCCATCAAAAGTATTTTCTTCCTCCAATATGGGACAATGTCCCTTTGACAAGGAGGGAAACTCAAATATTTCATTTTCCCTCCATTTTTCATTCACCCGCTTTAAGCTACACAAGCTTAAAAACCCAACAATCCCCCACATGAATTGAAAATGGCTATAAAATAAAGGAATGCACGGACGCGTGTGTGTTTTACATGCAATAATTAATTGCACCTGGATAAGTAGGTTGCCCTTTGAACTTTCCGTAGTGAACTTATACCGGATATACTCGGTCAATTGGTAGATTTAATATTTTTGAACCGTCGAGCTTTGTTGTATACCTAGACAACATAAGTCACACAATCAATCCTTAACTATCTATGGTTCTTACGGTTGTGTTCGTTTCTGCCATGAACACTGCCTGGTTTCATGAGTGCTTAGAGAATGAGAGTTTACTTTCATTCCCCTTAAAGCAGCTTACACTTCACACTCACATAGGTGATTTCTAAACGTATAATCCTATAGACGCACTATCTGGTCATATCCTGCTAGACTTAGCAAATCATTAAAAGGCTTTAAGCTTTATTGACTCATCAAAAAGCCTTAATTCTTTACCTCGATTTATGAACATTGTCTTCATCACGAGAAAGGGTTGATTTATTCGACAATGTTGAACCGTCATTCCTAACTTTGTTTGATCTCTTTGAACCTAGCTCGTGGGATCTCCAGTCTGCTAGGTAGAGTTACCGCCATGATGACTTGTCCTAGAACTTAACCCCATTCTGTTTGATGATCTTTCAACTGCCTCTCTAGATAGGCTTTTTGTAAGTGGATCTGACACGTTATCTCTTTACTTTACGTAGTCAATCGTGATAACACCGCTAGAGAGTAGTTGTCTAACGGTATTGTGTCTCCGTCATATATTACGAGATTTTCCGTCATACATAATGCTCCCTGCCCCGCCTATTGCGGCTTGACTGTCACAATGTATACAAATATGTGCCAAAGGTTTGGGCCAACATGGAATATCTTCCAAGAAATTCCGGAGCCATTCTGCTTTTTCACTAGCCTTAGCTAAAGCTATGAATTCAGATTCCATTTTAGAACGGGCGATGCACGTTTGTTTGGATGATTTCCAAGACACTGCTCCACCACCAATTGTGAAAACATATCCACTCGTGGATTTAACTTCAGGTGATTCGGTGATCCAATTTGCATCACTATTTCCCTCGATCACGGAGGGATATTTGTTATAATGCAAAGCATAGTTTTTGGTATGATTCAGATACCCCAAAACTCGTTTTATTGCCATCCAATGTATTTGATTGGGATTACTTGTAAACCGACTCAGTTTTCTAATAGCATATGTTATATCTGGTCGTGTACAATTCATGATATATATCAAATTTCCCAATACTCTTGCATAGTACAGTTGTGAGTCACTTTCACCTTCATTCTTTTGAAGTGCATAACTCATGTCAATTGGAGTCTTGGCAATCTTCAAATCCAAATACTTGAACTTGTCAAGTACTTTTTCAATGTAGTGAGACTGTGATAATGCTAGACCTTGTGGAGTCTTATGAATTCTGATTCCTAAGATCACGTCAGCAGCTCCTAAGTCTTTCATGTCGAATTTGCTAGCCAACATGCGTTTAGTAGCATTTATATCTGGCATACTTTTGCGCATTATCAACATGTCATCAACATATAAACAAACAATGACTTCATGACCTGGAGTATTTTTAATGTAAACACATTTGTCACACTCGTTGATTTTAAACCCACTTGACAACATTATTTGGTCAAATTTGGCATGCCATTGTTTAGGTGCTTGTTTAAGTCTATAAAGCGACTTAACAAGTTTTCACACTTTCTTTTCTTTACCAGAAACCACAAAACCCTCAGGTTGTTCTATGTAAATCTCTTCCTCCAATACTCTATTTACGAAAGCTGTTTTAACATCCATTTGATGGATTTCAAGACCATACACGGCCGCTAGTGCCACTAACACCCTAATAGATGTTATCCTCGTTACTGGCGAGTAAGTGTCAAAGTAATCAAGGCCTTCCTTTTGTCTATAACCTTTGACAACATGTCTTGCCTTATATTTGTCAACTAGTGCCATCAACTTTCATTTTCCGTTTAAAGATCCATTTCGAACCTAAAGGCTTATTTCCTGGAGGAAGATCAACCAATTCCCATGTATGGTTATCCAAAATTGATTGAATTTCACTATTGACTGCCTCTTTCCAAGACGCTGAATCAGAAGATGACATAGCTGCTTTAAAATTTTGAGCCTCATTTTCAAACAAGAATATCACAAAACCTGGTCTAAAGGACGTAGATATTCTTTGACGTTTGCTACGCCTTGGATCTTCTACACTTGGAGTATTTTCCTTTGGTTCTTCCCGAGGACGTTTAGGTCTTTCACTTAATGACTCAGAATCAGTTTTATACGGATAGATGCTTTCAAATAATTCAGCATTATTTGATTCCATTATCGTATTATCATGAATTTCAGGATTATCAAATTTATGAACCAAAAATCGAAATGCTTTACTGTTTGTAGCATATCCAATAAAAATGCAATCTACACTTTTTGGTCCAATTTTAACCCTTTTCGATAAAAGGAACTTGTACCTTTGCTAGACACCCCCACACTTTGAAATATTTCAAGTTGGGTTTTCTTCCTTTCCATTTTTCATATGGAATAGATTGCGTTTTGCTGTCGGGTACTCTGTTGAGTATTCGGTTAACTGTAAGGATAGCCTTCCCGCACAAACTCTGCGGTAATTCGAAACTTATTAATAAAGAATTCATCATTTCCTTTAATGTCCGATTTTTCCGTTCCGCTCTTCCATTGGATTGAGGTGTGTAAGGTGCAGTAGTTTGATAGATAATTCCATATCCCAAACATATTTCTGCAAACGGAGATTCATATTCTCTACCCCTATCACTTCTAATCATTTTGATCTTTTTATTCAATTGATTCTCCACTTCATTCTTGTATTGCTTAAATGCTTCAATTGCTTCATCCTTACTATTAAGTAAATAAACATAACAATATCGAGTGCAATCGTCAATAAAAGTAATAAAATATTTTTTTTCACCTCGAGACAGTGTGGACTTCATATCACAAATGTTAGTATGAATTAAGTCTAAAGGACTTGAATTCCTTTCAACAGACTTATAATGATGCTTTACAAACTTAGATTCAACACCTATTTGACATTTTGATTTATTACACTCGAATTTAGGCAAAACTTCTAAATTAATTAACTTCCGCAAGGTTTTGTAATTGACATGTCCTACGAATATGCCATAAATCATTTCACTCCAATAAATAAGAAGAAGCTGAAATTTTACATACTGTCAACAACCATTACATTGAGTTTGAAAAGGCCCTCTATGAGGTAGCCTTTTCCAACATACATTTCATTCTTGCTTACAACAACTTTATCTGAAACAAATATACATTTGAATCCATTCTTCACAAGTAAAGAAGTAGAAACTGAATTCTTCCTATTAGTAGGAACATGAAGAACTTTGTTGAGCGTTAACACCTTGCCGGAAGTCATCTTCAGGAATATCTTCCCATAACCTTCAATCTTGGCTGTTGCATTATTTCCCATGGAAAGCTCTTCTTCGGGACCAACAGTAGAGTACGTCGCAAATGCTTCTTTGACAACACAAACATATCGAGTGGCTCCAGAGTCAATCCACCACTCCTTCGGATTTCTAACTAGGTTGCATTCCGAAAGCATTGCACATAGATCATCAATGTCATCATTCTTCTCCACTATGTTGGCCTGTCCCTTCTTCTTATCCTTTTTCGGGAGACGACAATCAGGGGCTTTGTGACCAACTTTTCCACAATTGTAGCAGTTGCCCTTGAATTTCTTTTTGTTCTGCTCCTTAGTCTGTCCAGAAGACCTCCTCCTCTTCTTACTTTTTTGAGCAGTCTCCTCAACGATATTAGCTCCCATGATCGTTCAATTTCCACAAGACTTCTTCTCGTCTTTTTTGTTGTCTTCCTCAATCTTGAGACGAATCACAAGATCTTCCAACTTAATTTCTTTGCGCTTGTGCTTAAGATAATTCTTGAAATCTCTCCATGAAGGAGGCAATTTTTCAACCATTGCAGCCACTTGAAATGCTTCATGCACGACCATACCTTCATCAATAAGGTCGTGAAAAATAAGTTGAAGCTCCTGAACTTGGGTTCCAACAGTTTCGCTGTCTATCATTTTATAGTCTAGAAACATGGCAACCACGAACTTCTTCAAGCATGCATCTTCAGTCTTGTACTTCTTCTCAAGTGCGTCCCATAATTCTTTCAAAGTATTCACCGCACTGTACACATTGTACAAGTCATCCTCTAAAGCACTTAAGATATAGCCTTTGCAAAGAAAATCTGCCTGTTTCCACGCCTCAACAATTATGAATTTCTCGTTATCCGGCATGTCCGCAACAAGCACTGGAGGTTCTTCACTAGTGAATTTCTGCATACCATGTGCGGTATGCCATACGAACACCCTTTACTGCCATCCTTTGAAGTTGGCTCCAGAAAATTTTCCCGGTTTCTCGGCCGGTGGAACAGCAGTCCGGCTTGACGAGGCTATCGTCTTTGCCGCAACAGTCGAAGAAGAATTTCCATTTCTCACTGTCAACAACAGAGGAGTTCAATTAATAGCAAAACCAGAACAGTAAACAATACTGTAATTAACAATAAACGGTACGTATGATAAATAAAAACCAAAGTTTTGATATACTGTTTCATAGAAACGATGAAGTTTTTATGTTTTCCAAATCGTTTTCTGAATTTCAATATTCTGATGGAGTTTTTGTATCTTCAAATCAGAAGAGTAAAATCAGAAGGAGTAGAAAACCACACAGGTTTTAATCTCCACAAACAGAATACAGAATATAAAAAACTAATTTCCTTAAGATTGTTAGCCAATTTGTATTACTATAATAAACAATAAAACAGTAAACTTTCTGAAATAAAAGGAAATAGAAAGTTAGTAGAACCAGAATGACAAAATAAATTCTGGAAAATAATATAGGAATAAATCGAGCCCACGGAATACACAGTGTGTCCTTAAGGAAATTATTCCCCTCAAGTACCCGAGGTGCTGGAATATATCCTCCCAGGATAGAACGATTAACTCACCGGAGTGTTGGTACCAAAAACTCCAATGAACAACGAACCACTCGAAGGCTGTAAAACACAATGGAATTTTTATGTGCAGAAGAAGAAGAAGAAGATCAAAAAATTTCGTAAGTAAAGATTCTGGGTTCAAGGAATATTTATAGACCATTTGGCACTTTTTCTGAAAAGGTTTGCAACCTTTCAGAAACAGCCATAGCTGTTGGAATAGGTGTAAAACAGAAATATTGCAGGAAACAACAAACGGATTTAAAATAATCCGGGAAAGAAAATGGACCGGATCGGACCAGATCGCGGGTCATGGGTTATTACAGATTGAATTTTCGTTAATTAATAAAAAAGCTGAAAGGAAATTTGTCCAAAAAGATCAATCAATCAATCGTTGACCAAATCCAAATCCAAATCCCAATCCCAATCCGAATCCGAAGCCGAAGCCGAGCCGAGCGAGTGACGACGACGACGACGACGCGAGGCTTGCCTTCTTCTTAACTCTTTAAGAGCTAGAAGAAGAGCAATTGTATATATACCTATCAAAAGTCTTTTCTTCCTCCAATATGGGACAATGTCCCTTTGCCAAGGAGGAAAACTCAAATATTTCATTTTCCCTCCATTTCCCGTTCACCCTCTTTAAGCTACACAAGCTTAAAAACCCAACAAGAAGTTGACCCAAACAAAATCGAGGTAAAAGAGAAGAAGATTTGTGCATACCTGCAGCTTGAACAAAGTCAGAAACATGAGAAGGCCCGTATAGAAAGTAGAAACTGAAGAAACTAAAAAAGACAGGAGACTTTTTGAAGACAGCTATAGAGCCCGTTTGGATTAGCTGATTATAAATAGATGATAAGCTTGAAACGCTGAAAAGTATTTTTAAGTGCTGAAACCTCATACAATCTTCTGTTGGGACGACCATGGATACATGCCGCTGGGGCCGTGGCTTCCACACTACATCAAGCCGTGAAATTCGAATGGAATCGTCAGGAGGTGATTATTCACGGAGATGGGAGTAACCCCATTTACACCAGCCAAACCATCCCGGTTATCGGAAACAGAAGAAGGCTAGGACGGGAAACCTATCATCACATTGAACGTGTCAATGCCGTCGAGAAAGACAAATGGTGGAGCAGCAAAATACAAAGCATACTGGCATGGTCCGGGTATGAACCCGGCAAAGGACTTGGGAAGAATCTCCAGGGTATTACTAAACTGATACGGCTGAAGGGTCATGGCACTACTTTGAGCTCGGATATCAGTACATATGGCAAGAGTATAATGATTGGTCGCCTCCATGGCGCGGACCGTATTACCCTCTCGAGCAACCAATGCCACATCTGGATCAAGCTTTTCACCAAGCTGATACAACATGGGGAACTACAGAAGAAGAGGCATTAGTTGGGCTGAAGAATCTGTTCTTAGAGGACGAAGACATGGACTGTAGTGTTATAATTGAGGAGGAGGAGGAAGAAGGCCTCACTATTCAGACTGTGGAGAAGGGAGCTGTTCTCAGAAACTGGACCGCCGTACCATCCCGGGCCCGCTGAGTCCCTGGGTAGCTTGGCAGATTTTATTTCTATAGCCATTCTAGGCATTTAAGATTTTCAGTAACTTTGTTTTAAAGACTTACTTGTTTCAAAATAAATGCTCGATTCATCGAGCCGTACTTGTCCGCATGTTTTTCAGTTTTAATCAAATGCATTGCTCTTTATTATTCATTGTTATTTTCTACATTTTTTCTTTCTACAACGTTATTATTACTTTTCATGATGAACCGATGACTGTGACATGTAATGAGGCAACGCAATATGAGGATAGTGATTCGGATGAAGAAGACGAGATACCCGAAGAAGTTGTTAGGGAGGTTGAAAACTTTGAGAATAAGCCTAAGTCCAATCAAGACGAAACCGAAGCCGTAAACTTGGGGGACGCCGAGACCATCAAAGAGACTCGCATCAGTATTCACTTATCACCAATAGAGAAGGAAGAGTACATTCGTTTCTTAAAGGAGTATGGGGACATTTTCTCATGGTCGTATGATGACATGACCGGTTTAAGCACGTCCATAGTGGCTCACAAGTTGCCTACTAATCCCATGTGTCCGCCAGTGAAGCAGAAACTTAGAAAATTCAAACCAGATATGAGCCTGAAAATCAAGGAGGAAGTTACTAAGCAGATCAAAGCCAAAGTTCTCAGGGTTGTTGAGTACCCAACCTGATTAGCCAACATCGTGCCGGTTCCGAAGAAAGATGGAAAAGTCAGAGTATGTGTTGACTATCGAGATTTAAACAGAGCAAGTCCCAAGGACGACTTTCCACTGCCAAACATACATATCCTGATCGACAATTGCGCCAAGCATGAACTCCAATCCTTTGTAGATTGCTTCGCCGGTTATCACCAGATCTGGATGGACGAAGAAAATGCAGAGAAAATAACTTTTATTACCCCTTGGGGGGTATACTGCTCTAAGATGATGCCATTTGGTATAAAGAATGCTGGGGGTATCTACATGAGATCCATGACAACTATCTTCCACGATATGATACACAAAGAAATAGAGGTGTATGTGGACGACGTCATTATCAAATCCAAGAGGGCCGCGGATTACATAGCAGACTTGAGAAAGTTCTTTGACAGATTAAGGAGGTACAACTTGAAACTGAACCCCGCAAAGTGTGCATTCGGGGTTCCTGCAGGAAAGTTACTGGGATTCATTGTCAGTCGTCGAGGGATCAAGCTGGATCCGTCTAAAGTCAAAGCTATTCAGGAGTTACTGCCACCTAGGAGCAAAAAGGACGTGATGAGCTTCCTACGACGTCTCAACTATATCAGTCGCTTCATAGCACAGTCCACAGTTATATGTGAACCCATCTTCAAGATGCTAAGGAAAGACGCCGAAACAAGCTGGACTGAGGATTGTCAGAGAGCTTTCGACAAAATAAAGGAGTACCTGTCCACAACACCGGTCTTGGTCCCGCCAGAGCCGGGACGACCTTTGCTACTCTATCTATTTGTATTGGATGGAGCTTCATATGTGTTCCGGGACAACATGATGAGACAGGGAGAAAGGAGCAAGCCATATACTACTTGAGTAAGATATTCACACCTTACAAGGTACTGTACTCTCTGCTGGAACGCACTTGTTGTGCTTTGACCTGGACGACCCAGAAGTTGAGGCATTACTTCTGTGCCTAGACCTCATACCTCATATCCGGGATGGACCCTTTGAAGTATATATTTCAGAAACCCATGCCAATCGGGAAGTTAGCCAAATGGCTGATACTGTTAAGTGAGTTCAATATCGTCTATGTCACTCAAAAGGTGGTCAAAGGACAAGCATTGGCAGACCACCTTGCTGAAAATCCGGTGGGAGGAGAATACGAACCCCTAAAAATGTATTTTCCTGATGAAGAGGTGTCATTCGTAGGAGAGGACATTACTGAAGCATACGACGGTTAGAGGATGTTCTTCGACGGAGCTGCAAATTTCAAAGGAGTGGGCATTGGAGCAGTTTTGGTAACAAAAATGGGGAAACATTATCCGGTATCTGCTAATCTCAGATTTCCTTGCACCAACAACATGGCAGAGTATGAAGCCTGCATACTAGGACTCAACATGGCAATTGACATGAATATTCAGGAGCTGCTAGTAATCGGTGATTCAGATTTGCTCGTACCAGGTACAAGGAGAATGGGCCACCAAGAATTTCAAGATATTGCCATCTCTGCACCATTTTAGGAATTGAGAAGGAGGTTCACAAAGATAGAGTTTCGGCATGTACCCAGAATTCAGAATGAGTTCGCCGATGCATTGGCCACCTTGTCATCTATGATACAACATCCAGATAAGAATTTCATTGATCCCATCCCAGTGAGAATCCATAATCAACCGGCTTACTGTGCTCATGTCGAGGAAGAGACGGATGGAAAGCCTTGTTTCCATGACATCAAGGAGTATTTGGCGAAAGGAGAATATCCGGAGCATGCAAACCACACTCAGAAACGCACACTCCGGATATTGTCCAATCACTTCTTCCACAGCGGAGGAAATTTGTACAGAAGAACTCCTGATTTGTGATTGCTAAGATGTGTCGACGCAAAAGAGGCTTCTAAGCTACTTGAGGAGATACATGCTGGGACCTGCGGCCCACATATGAATGGTTTTGTCTTGTCTAAGAAGATACTTAGGGCCGGTTACTTTTGGATGACTATGGAGACAGATTGCGTCCAGTATGTCCGCAAATGCTACCAATGTCAAGTGCATGCCGATATGATAAAAGTGCTGTCAAATGAGCTCAATGCCACAAGCTCACCTTGGCCATTCACCGCCTGGGGAATGGATGTCATCGGTCCTATCGAGACCACAACTTTAAACGGGCACATGTTTATTCTAGTAGCCATTGATTACTTCACAAAATGGGTAGAGGCTGCATCTTACAAAGCTGTAACCAAGAAAGTCATCGCAGACTTTGTCAAAGATCGTATTGCTTGCCGATTCAGAGTTCGCGAGTCCATTATTATTGATAATGCCGCCAATCTCAACAGTGATCTGATGAAGGCCATGTGTGAAACTTTCAAAATCAAGCACAAGAATTCCACAGCCTATAGACCTCAGATGAATGGAGCCGTAGAAGCCGCCAACAAAAACATCAAGAAGATACTAAGGAAGATGGTAGAAAACCACAAACAATGGCATGAGAAGCTACCTTTTGCTCTGTTGATACCGCACTACAGTTCGCACATCAACCGGGGAAACTCCCTACATGCAGGTATATGGTACCGAAGCTATCATCCCAGCCGAGGTAGAGATTCCTTCTTTAAGAATCATACAGGAAGCTGAACTCAGCGATGCAGAATGGATTAGGAGCCGCTATGAACAATTGGCCCTTATAGATGGAAAAAGGATGAATGCAGTATGTCACGGTCAACATTACTAGAGAAGAATGTCTAGAGTTTTCAACAAAAGGGTCAAACCAAGATAGTTCGCACCAGGATAGCTGGTATCGAAGAAGATCTTCCCACATCAAGATGAAGCTAAAGGGAAATTCTCTCCCAACTGGCAAGGTCCTTACATGGTCCATAGGGTGCTAACAGGAGGAGCGCTCATACTTGCAGAAATGGACGGAGAAATCTGGCCAAAATCAATCAATTCAGACTCAGTCAAGAGATACTATGCTTAGACTATTTGCAGTTGCTCATGTGATGTAATTGAACTATGCTTGACCTGATTCCCGTTTAAGAGGGGATACGTACGCAGCCATGTGGGTTCGGTCATATCATAATAAAATTTCCATTTCCCCCAAGATCAGAAACTGGGGCAGAATTTTGAGGAGGACCATCAAAATTCCGGAGCAAGTCCAGCCAACGCCATCGCACGCCGGAAAGTCAGAAATTGGTTAAGAAACTAGGGCAGAATTTTGAGAAGGGTTCTCAAAATTTCGAGGAATGGTCGACAAGTCTCGTTACTCGCAAACGGCCAAAGGATCATCCACCAAACTGGGGCAGAATTTTGAGGAAGACCCTCAAAATTCTAATATGAGAAAGCTGCAATGTCTCTGAAATGTATTACAGTCACTAGTTCATTTAAAAATCACTTGATATATCAATATGTTTCTAATATGACTCTTTTATCAGTAATTGCATATTTCCGAAAACTCTATTTCCGTAACAGTTAGGTGTTACCCAGGGAAACTTAAACGAGGCCTCAAGAATGGAACATAGCAAGGCCAGCAGACAAAGGAACGAACCAACCTCCCCTTACGAAACTTACAATTTTTCTTTGAGCGCAGGCACATCTGACATAGCGAAAGCATTCGCAAACAAATGCACACAAACCAAAATCACTATCAAACGGGCCACCAGACACTGAACGTATTTCCAGCTATGAAACATTCTACCCTTATTTGCTATTTGTTCTTTGCATGGGACTACGCCCTGTCCCGCACCCTGCATGAGGCTAATCCTTGCCTCCGTACTTGCATGAGGCTAATCCCTGCCTCCACATCTGCATGAGGCTAATCCTTGCCTCCATACTTGCATGAGGCTAATCCTTGCCTCTATACTTGCATGAGGCTAATCCTTGCCTCCACATCTGCATGAGGCTAATCCTTGCCTCCATACTTGCATGAGGCTAATCCTTGCCTCCATACTTGCATGAGGCTAATCCATGTCTCCATAATTGCATGAGGCTAATCCCTGCCTCCATAATTGCATGTGGCTAATCCCTGCCTCCATACTTGCATGAGGCTAATCCCTGCCTCCATAATTGCATGAGGCTAATCCCTGCCTCCATACTTGCATTGGACTAATCCCTGCCTCCATACTTGCATGAGGCTAATCCTTGTCTCCATACTTGCATGAGGCTAATCCTTGACTTACTTGCATGAGGCAAATCACTGCCTTCCATTTGCATGGGACTAAGCATTGTCCCTCCTTGCATAAATGTTGCTCTATTCTGGTACTATCTGTTTACTTTTCAATCGGGCTAAGCTCTGCCCTCCATTTCACAAGACTAAGCCTTGTCTTGTTAACATCATATTATTGCATCTCATGGGCTGAAATATCACCAACCTATCCAAAGGTATCATAGTCTAAAAGGCATCATCCTCATAGCCGGAAGACACCATGCCATGGCCTGAGGATTTCTCAAATCTGCATATCATTGTTCAAAGGCATCATGGTTCGGAGGCACCATATCCATGGCCCGAGAACACCATTTCATGGCCTACGAATCCCTCACCAAACAATTCATGGCCCAGGACATCATGGTCTAAGGACGTCATCCTTAAACCGTCCGAAGAAAACTTCCATGGTCCAAAGGGAATCTGCATCATGTTTAAATTTTCGCACAAATACATGTTCGTAGCATCTCTTTATCTGCAGGTGACCAGTAAGCAACCGCTATCCTAGCAGGAGTGACCTCGCTCCAGTTCCTTCAGCTATCTCAAACCTGGACCATTCACCATAACCACTCTTGCAGCAAGTCCGAAATCTCGTGTCTGTTCTTGTAATGACTTCATCGGTATATTTCGCCAATGAATCCAGAACTACACATGGCTTGATTCCTGTAAAACCAGGGATATGTAGGCAGCTCAAAGACCAGAGTCCGGCCTCTATCTTTCAAAACATCCCATCTGGTCAAAATTGGCCATCATTTCTTTACCCGAAAACTCTTTCATCCTTCCCAGGTAAAGAGGGGCAGCTGCTGACACCCAATTTTTCCATAATATTTTCAAAACTATGCTTTGGCATCAATTAGTATTTTTTATACAATTTCTGCATTTTAAAAAAAATATTTTAACTAATTTCTCCCAGCATTTTTATTTATAAAACAATCACTAATTGCATCACAAATAGTTTTATAATAATTTTTTGCGTTTAATTTTATCATTTGCATTTGTACTAAGTTTCAATTGTTGCACAAATAGCCATTTTTGTATTTTCAGGCTGCAATTGTAGTTACTTTGCAATTATAGCCCACACACGCATTACTACATTATTTTACCATAAAATAGACTTTTATATATTTTTAAAATATTAAGTAATTATTTTAAAATATTTCCAGGCATGAAAATCATTTTTACAGCCTATTAGTTATTTTAAAAAAATGTTTTATCAATTAAATAGGGTATTTAACAAATGGCCCTCTTATTTCAGATTTGGCCTAACTACCTAGCCCAATTTTTAACCCCAATTCAATCAAACCAACCCAAATCTACCCATCCCAAACCTATAATATCCAACCCGGCCCTAAATCCTTTCAATCTTGGCCGTTGATCACAGAGATCAACGACCACAATTACCCTTTTCCTTTTTTTAGTTCCAAACGACCCCCCAAACCTGGCCATTTTCACCAAACAGCCGCCTTGAAACCCTCTCCTATCCGTTCTCTCTGAGACCTAAGCCTAACCCTAGTCGCCGCCACCCAAAACCAACCCTCATCCCTTTAATCCCTGTCCAATCTATGGCTTCCCATGGCTGTACAAGGCCTCTACTTGTCTCCTATCTCCCTTGGTCGCTCGATTGTGTGATTTCATGGAAGAATTTCGAAAAGATCTGGTCCAGATCTCGTTTTAAACTCTTCAAAAGTCCGTCGATGGTCCGTGAATGATTTCTATCAAAGTCTCACGATTCAAATCCTTGATTCAAAGGCCATATTCTCTTACCCTTTCTCTTTTCTTCAAGAAACCTAATGTTTGGACTTGAATCGGTTCAGATCTCCGTAGATCTGGAGCGATCCTGATTTCATCATTGATTTTCCTAAAAGAGGTTCCCTTACTTCTTTACTAGTTAATCAATGTCTGAATACTTTTGTTATATTAGGGTTTGTTTTCTTGTTGTTTGTTGGTCGAACCTCTGGGTATCTGAAGCATTTTCAAACTTCCATGGCTATTATTTTGGGTTCTTTTACTTCTTTTCTACTAACCGATGTTTAAACACTACAATACTTTAGGTTTTGACTTCTATGATTTCTGTTTGTTCGAATCTCTGTGTGTTGACATTCCTTCAAGTTTTTCTTCTTTAAGTGTTTTCAAACTAGGGTTTCATCCCGTTAAGTTTTCTGCAAAAATTCTAAATTTTTTAAGTGTTGGACTGTGGTTCTCTTTACCTGTTCGACTGATTTTTCATATCTATGTTTTAATCCCTAGGGTTTCTGCTTATTTCACTGATTATTTTAATACTTTACCGTTATTCTTTAGTTCTGTCATTTAAAAGAGATTGATTGATTTCATTTGCTTAATTAGGGTTCAAATTATATTTTTTGCCGAGATTGGTACTTCTCTGTGATTTTTTTTAACCTATTTTCCTTATTTGTGACTCATAATTGGTACTACTTGCCTTAATTAGTTTATTAGCCTCATTTATGGGATTTAATTGCTTGAACCGATTCCTAGATGGTCCTTGATTGATTTATTTACCTTATTAAACCTCTAACTTGGTTGTTAATTGATTATCCCTAATTTAAGGGGTGCTTTCCGGATTCTGTTGAATTATTTGATTGAGTTTAGCCCCAATTAACTATTTAATTTTACTTGCGTACCTTATTTGGAACTCTTAATTATTCTTTGCCTTATTTGTTTACTCTGCTAAGTGCTATATAATCTCCCCATTCTGATTTTGAAGGGACGAACATTAGTTCATCAATACTCTCACACTCTCAAAGCTCTCTATTCTCTTCTGTTACTTATAATTCTCACTAACCTAGCCGGCTGTAAACCAAGGCTGGCTATTTGCACCATCTCTGCTCTTTACTCTGTATTCTCTCCTTAGCTGGTATGTCCTGATTCTATTCAAATTTCAAAACTATGTGTTTCTTTGTTGTTTCAGTTCATTAGTTGTGACCTCTAATCCTGTTTATTATTTTACTATCATGTTGCTCAATGTGTAACCAGCATGCCTAGACCATACTGCCTAACTACTGTCTCACTTAGCATGTTGGAGTTTGTTCTGTTAGAAGCTATGACTAGTTTATTTACCCACAAGGATCTGTTTATTGTTTAGCATGCCCAATCCTGCCTTGTGATAATTGCATGCATCTTGTTTGCTCACTAGCATGTCCAAGCAACATTGCTTGTTTACTGTCCCCCCAGCATGTCTAAATTCTGCTTGTTCTATCTATGCTTAGTATTTCTAAACTATAAATGTTTCATGAAGTACTTTCCTAGTTTGTTCATCTAAATCTTGTTTACTCTACTTTACTAAAGAGATCCTGCTAAGTCATCTAGCCCTACAAAGTACTCTGATTGTGTGTCCAAGATCTATGTGTTTTCAACATGTCTTTGCTGTATCTTTGTAATTAACTTACAATTTCTTGAGAAGTTTGTGCATCTATTTGCTTATACACTAGGGTGTATTCTATGTGTCCCCAACCCCTCTCTCCATGTGTGGAATCTGTTTGCCCCAAAATATTCCTGAAAGCTGTTTGTTTTTTGACTTGCATTCTGATTTCAAAAAATGTTTTTTTCATGCTTTTCTCAAACTATTTTACCACCCTAACTAGTACTGGTTTCAGAAAATCTCTTCACTCCTAAGGCCCTTCTTCATACTATTTACCAAAACTCTTTCAAATCATGTCAAGAACTCTCACTTATTCTTAGGTTATTAAGTTCTGCCCCTTTGGTATGTGTATTGCTTAGAGGTCCACGAGATCTCCCTGAACTCTGGCATATCAGGGCTGGCACTTCCACACTGCACATAATCAGTCTTTATTGGAGGAAAGTCTGGGTGTGAGCACTACCCGGGATCTTTGAGGTCCTTAGGGAACTCTGACACACCTGGACATGAATTGGGCTATGAAATCTTGGGCATTTGAGACTAGTGAAGGCTTGGTACACCAGGATTTGCTTTGGGCCTACTTCAGGCTCCCTGTAGCTTAGTTTCTATTCTATTTATGTAATTTTTTATTCAATCCTTGGTCTGTAATAATTAATTGTAAACGAATATTGGGGTGACTAGTGAAAATGGAGGGTAGTTGTATACTGTGGGTAAAGATGGGTAGATAACATGCCTATAGGGTTCATTGTTGTTCAAATGTGTTTTGTTAGATAACATGCCTATAGGGTTTCGCTTTGTTCAAATAAAATTCTGCCTGCTTTACTTTGGATGATTAGACACCATGCCTATAGGATCTAAAATCAGCTATAATCAGATATTATGCCTATAGTATTTAAAATCAGCTTTAATCATAGAAATCATGCCTATAGGATGTAAAATCAACTTTAACTAGACATTATGCCTATAGGATCTAAAAATCAGTTTAATTAGAAATCATGCCTATAGGTTCTGAATCAGTTAATCAATTATCTTACTCGTTTCTTTAATAGTCCTCAACGCTGAGTTAATTAATATCACTAGAAAGCATGCCTATAAGATAAAGAACTTTAAAAAGCTTCTCAGAATTGTGACTGCATATACGCACTTAGGCAAGCCTTAGGGCGTTAAATAATTGTGAAACCAGTTCTGTTTATATGTGAAATTATCCAAGTTTAACAAGCTGTAAAACCAGTAGGCAAACTGGTTAGGATCCTGCCACTTCCCTAAAAAACAAACGCTGCATGTTTTGTTTTGTGATGTTCATCTAGATATCATGTTCTTAGGATTTCGGAACTTTCTTCAAAAATTGGTTTTTAGATGTGTTGTTTGTTTGCCTATATACATGCGGAGGTAAATGTGAGCCTTCTAACTGCCTGTCTTTATTTGCTTGTCCTATATGTTATTTGCCTGGTGCCTAGATTCTTACCTTTTAAAAACCTTAGATTGTCTAGAACTGTCCAGATTTAGTGGTCCCAAATTCCTCCAGGACCATAAGGAAGGGACGGGTAGCAGCACGCTTAGAGGTCGTTAAATTAAACTCGGTTATATAACCACCAATGGGAGGGTAATGGGTAGTAAAAGGATATGATGAGTGCACGCTAATGTCACGTGTAGCCCCTCATTGAGGAGTGATTGCCGGGCATTGCATGGGTATGATCCTATAGGCTAATCAACCTAGGACTTCCCTTTCCCAATTTCATATGTGTTTAAATTTTACTAACTTTCTTTTCTTTACATATACATGTGCAAGTTGTTCAAACCTCTCTCTTGCTCCCATTACCTGAATCGTACATGTACTTAGAATGTGAAAACATACCTTTGTTTACAAATATGTGTTGAAACTATTTACTTGTTAAAATAACTAATTCACATAGTTTATGTTCGGCCGGGACCCACCGTTGTGGACCGGGAGGGGTGCCTAACACCTTCCCCTCAGGGTTATTTCAATCCCTTACCCTAATCTTTGGTAATGCAAACTAGTTACACGAGTTAATTATTCTAGGTGCCCTAACGCACCATAATCCGTTAGGTGGCGACTCATCAAATACCCAATTCCCAAAAGGAAACGAGTTGTCCCCCCCATGAATGTTGAAACCCATAATTCCCTACCAAAGGGGAAAAAAGGGGGCACGACAGGGCCAACTCAGGCACCAGTTGCGCCCACTGTGATTCCAGGTCTACAGGAGGCTTTGGTTCAGATTTTGACTGTGTACCAGCCTTGCCTAGGCGGTCTCCTTTTCGGCCGCATCAGCCACTTCTCAGGCCGGGGGAGGTGCTCAGACTCCCGTCGCCCGTACACCCGAGCAAGTGATGCAGGGACAACAGACACCAGGGGCACTACCAGCCCAGCCAGTTGCAATTGCTCAGGCCGATGTGGTTCCTATTATGACTGATGATGAGCGGAAGAGACTAGAGAGCTTTGGGAGGCTCCAGCCTCCATCTTTCAGTGGGGAAGAGTTAGAGGATGCCCAGGGTTTGTTGGACAAGTGTCAGTAGATTCTCCGCACAGCAGGTATTCTGGAGACCAGTGGGGTCTCGTTCACTACTTTCAGTTATCTAGGGCTGCCTTTAGATGGTCGGAGGCTTATGAGAGACGCAGGCCGGTCGGTGTAGTACCACTTACCTGGCAGGACTTCACTGTTCTCTTCTTGGAGAAGTTCGTACCGCAGTCTCGCAGAGAGGAGCTTCGCAGATAGTTTGAGCAGCTATGTCAGGATACATGTCTGTGATGCAGTACGAGATGAGGTTTTCTGAGTTGGCCCGTCATGTTTTTTGGTTGGTTTCCACTGATAGGGAGAGGATTAGGAGGCTCATTGATGACCTCATATATCAGCTGCGGTTGCCTATGACTAGGGAGAGGGTGTTTGGTGCTACTTTCGATGAGGTTGTTGATATTGTTCAGCAGATAGAGATGGTCCGCAGCCAAGAGTGGGGTGAGAGGAAGGCCAATAGGCCTCGTGGATTGAGTGGTTTCAGTGGTGTTCCTTTTGGGGGGTCAGTTCTACCACAACAGGGGACGTCCTTATAGGCACGCCCAGACGGCTCGTCCAGTTCACCATGGCGCATCATCCGGCCATGGTTCATTTAGTGCCCTTCCAGCTTAGAGTTCGTCTTGTGCACCGTCAGCTCAAGGTTCATCTGTACTGGGTCCTTCTGACAGTTATTCTGGTTCTCGAGGTCCTTCTTAGTACTCACCGCCATTCATAGGGAGTGGTTGTTTTGAGTGTGGAGATTTGGGTCACATCAACATGCATTGTCCCTGCCTTTTAGGAGGCCTAGCTCAGCAAAGGAGTCAACATACCACTTCACCACCGGTTACTTCACCACTCGCCCATCCAGCTAGGGATGGATCTCAGGCAGCTAGGGGTCGCCCTAGAGTGGGAGGCCGATCAGGGGATGGACAGGCCCGGTTCTATGCTCTTCCTGGTAGACCAGATGCCATTGCTTCAGACACAGTGATCATAGGTATTGTCTTAGTATGGCACAGGGATGCCTCATTATTATTTGACCCTGGTTCCACTTATTCATATGTATTATCGTATTTTAATCATTATTTGGATATACCCCGTGAGTTCTTAGTTTCATCTGTTCATGTATCTACGCCGGTGAGCGATACTATTATTGTGGGCCGTGTTTAACGGTCGTGTGTGGTGACTATTGGCGGATTGGAGACTAGAGTTGATCTCTTACTGCTTAGTATGGTCAATTTCGACATGATGTTTGGTATGGATTGGTTGTCTCCACGTCATTCTATTTTGTATTGTCACGCTAAGACCGTGACGTCGGTGATGCGGGGGTTGCCAAGGATTGAGTGGAGAGGTTCTCAAGACTATGTTCCTAGCAGAGTGATTTCGTATTTGAAGGCCTAGCGGATTATTGGGAAGGGTTGTTTATCTTACTTGGCCTTTGTAAGGGATGTTGGTTCTGATACCCTTACTATTGATTCTGTTCCAGTGATGCGAGATTTTCCGGATATGTTTCCTGCAGACCTACCGGGCATGCCGCTCGATAAGGATATTGACTTTGGTATTGACTTGGTGCCGAGCACTCAGCCCATTTCTATTCATCTATACCGTATGACATCGGCTGAGTTGAAGGAGTTGAAGGAGCAGCTTCAGGAACTTCTTGATAAGGGGTTTATTCTAGTGTGTTGCCTTGGGGTGCACCGATTCAGTTTGTGAAGAAGAAAGATGGCACCATGCACATGTGAATTGATTATAGGCAGTTGAATAAAGTCACAATCAAGAACAAGTTTCGTTTGTCGTGCATTGATGATCTATTTGACCAGCTTTAGGGAGCGAGAGTGTTCTCCAAGATTGATTTGAGGTCTGGGTATCAACAGTTGAAGATTCAGGACTCGAATATTCTAATGTCTGCATTTAGGACCCGTTATGGTCATTATGAGTTCTTTGTTATGTCTTTTGGG